CAGACTAAATGTACCAAAGACAAAGAATGGCAAACTGCCTCCAGGAAACACATCTCATTTCAAAGGACACTCACAGACTCAAAGCCAGAAGATGGAAAACTAATTTTCAGATGAATAGAACATAAAAAAGGCAAGATTCATGTTTTTAATATCACAAAAAAGCTTTAAGCTATCAAAAATTAAAAAAAATATAGACCACTACGTAATGATAAAACGTTCAATTCATCAACAAGAAATTTCCATCCTAAATATATATGCACCAAACACAGGATAACCAGTTTTTAAAACAGCTACTAAGTAAACTAAAAAAGATATTGACTCTAATACTATAATACCCAGGAACTTAAATACCCACTAACAACTCTGGAAAGATCATCGAAGCAAACAAATCAACAAAGAGATCTGGAACCTCAACTTGATGCTTGACCAAATGAACTTAATAGATACCAACAGAACACTCCACCCAAAAATCATGGAATATACATTCTACTGAACACATGGAATGTATGCCAAGATCCACCACATCCTCAGCTATAAATCAAGGATAAACAAATTTCATAAGATTGAAATACTGCCATGCACATTGTCAGACCACAGTGGTATAAAAATAAATATAAACAACTACAAAATTCCCCCCAAACCCACAAAGACATGGGCACTAAACAGCACAATGCTGATCAACGCCTGGGTCAACATAAAAATCTAAACAGAAATTAAAAGATTCCTGGAAAGAAGTGAAAATGAAGAAACATCTTACCAAAACTTCTGGGATGCCATTAAGGCATAAATAAGAGAGGAATATAAGTCTCTACAAATACATGTCAAGAAAATAGAAAGAGAACAGGTTAATAGCTGAACAAATCACCTAAAGGAGCTGAAAAAGCAAGACCACCACAACCCTAAGAATCCAGATAACCAATATAAGAGCCCAAATATGGGACACAAAAGACAAATATATCATAGAAAAAAATCAATTAAACAAAAAGCTGACTCTTTGAAAGGATAAGTAAGATTCTTGGACTCCTAGCCAGACTGACCAACAAAGAAGAGAGAAAAAGCTCAAATAAACACAAGTAGAAATGCAAAAGATCAAGTCACAACTGACCCTGAAGAAATACAAAAGATTATTAGAGATTACTATGCACAATTGTATGGAAACAAACTTGAAAACCTAAATGAAGTGAAGGAGTTTCTGATATCACACAATTTCCCCAGGTTGAAACAAGAAGAAATTGAGACCCTAAATATACAAATAACAACCCAGGAAATTGATTCTGTCATAAGAAATCTACCTACAAAAAAGACCCTGGATAAGATGGTTTCCCAGCAGAATTCTACAAAACACACAAGTAGGAGTGGATACCAATCCTACTGAAAGTATTCCAGGCAATCAAGAAAGACAGAACTCTCTTCAAATCATTTTATGAAGTAAACATCATATTGATACCCAAACCAGGTAAAAATCCAACAAAGAAAGAGAACTACATGCCAATTTCCCTGATGAAGCTAGATGCCAAAATTCTCAACAAAATTCTAGCAAATCAGATCCATCAACACACCTCAAAAATCATCCACCATAACCAAGGCTGGATCAAATCCACAAGACGATAAAAGTAATTAAATACATCAACAAATGCAAAAACAAGAACCACATGATTATATAATTAGATGGAGAAAAAGCTTTCAATATAATTCAGCATCACTTCTTGATGAAAACCCTCGAATACCTAGGCATAGGGGAACGAACATACCTCAAAACAGTAATAGCCACCTAGGATAAACCCACAGTCAACATATTACTAAGTGGACTGAAATTGGAAGTATTTTCCCTGAAAACTGGAACAAAACAAGGCTGCCCTCTCTCAACTGTCCTGTTCAACATAGTGTTGAAAGTTCTATGTAGAGTAATCAGACAAGAGAAAGAAATCATGGGTATCCAAATAGGAAAAGAGGAAGTTAAGTTATTCCTCTTTGCTGATGATATGATCCTATACCTTGAAAACTTAAGAGAATTTGTCAAAGATTTCCTTGCACTAAAAGAACTTTGACAAAGAGCCAGGGTACAAAATAAATGTGCAAAGACAGTCGCATTCTTAGATACTAACAACAAACAGGAATAGAACCAAATAAAAAACACAATCCCATTCACAATAGCCACACCAAAAAAAAAAAAAAGAAATACCTTGGCCTGTTCCTAACCAGAAAGGTGAAAGACCTTTAAAACAAAAAATAAAAAACACTGCTCAAAGAAATCAAAGAAGACACAAACAAATGGAAAGATATTCCATGCTCACGATTTGAAAGAACCAACATTGTTACGATGTCCATCCTACCAAAAGCAATCTACAGATTCAAAACAATATCTGTTAAATTATCAAGATCATTCTTCTCAGACCTGGAAATAACAATACAGAAATTCCTATAGAAACATAAACGACCAAAAATACCCAAAACAATCCTCAGCAAAATAAACAAAGCGGGAGGTATCACACTTCCAGACTTTAAACTTTACTATAAGGCTGCAATAATCAAAACAGCCTGGTATTGGACAAGAATAGACATATAAACCAATGAAATGGGATAGAGATCCTGAAGGCAAAAACCTCAATTTCTCAACCAACTCATATTAAATAAAACCTCCACCAACAACCACTGGGGAGCCTATTCAGTAAATGGTGCTGGGAAAACTGACTTACCATATGCAGATAATTGAAACAGGGCCCCTACCTATCACCATACACAAAAATCAACTCTAAATGGATCAAAGACCTAAACATAAAATCTCAATCTATAAGAATCTTTGCAAACACAAGAGACATCCTCACGGAAAATGGAACAGGCAACCAATTCCTGACCAAAACCCCAAATGCCCATGCCATAAGAGATAAGATAGACAAGTGGGACCTCATCAAATTGAAAATCTTCTGCAAAGCAAAAAAAAACCATCAAGAGAGCAGGGAGAGAGCCTACAGAATGGGAAAAAATATTTGCCAATTGTACAACTGACAAAGACCTAACACCCAGAATCTACAAGGAACTCAGACACATCAAAGGAAAAGAAAACAAACAGCCCCATTAAAAAGTGGGCAAAAGATATGAATAGACACTTCCCAAAAGACATACGAGCAGCCAACAGATACATGAAAAAATACTCAGCCTCACTAATCATCAAAGAAATACAAATCAAATCCACACTGACATACCACAGAACCCCACTCAGAATGACCATTGTTACTAACTCAAAAAGCAACAGATGCTGGCGAGAATATGGAGAAAAGGGAACACTTATACACTGTTGGTGGGAGTGCAAACTAGTTCAATTTCTATGGAAAACTGTGTGGCAGTTTTTGAAAGAACTAAAAATTGACCTTCCAAAGTATCCAGAAATCCCCCTTCTGGAAATACACACATAGGAACTCAAATCATTCTACAAAAAAGATATCTGCACACGCATGTTTATTGCAGCATTATTCACAATAGGAAAAACATGGAACCAACTGTGCTGCCCATCAAAAACAGACTGGATTTTTTAAATGTGATACATATACATGATGGAGTATTATGCAGCCATAAAGAAGAACAAAATTAGGAACTTCACAGCAACTGGGATGGACTTAGATTGTATAATACTGAGCGATCTATCACAGAAACAGAGAACTGAGTACCACATGTTCTCACTCATAAGCAGACCCTGAACATTAATCATAATACTATAAGAAAAGGATTGGCAGTAGCGGAACACTGCCAGGAAAGGGGGGCCACATAACATCAATAAGGGTACAGGATCTCAAACCAGGTGAAGTGAGGACCAAAGGGAGACCCAAACTTTACCTGTATGATGACCATTTATCTACCTAATCCTGAATCGTACACCACATCTTTAATATAAAAAAATAAAATATGAGCAGGACTACCTACAATTCAAAAAAAATAAAGTAGCACTTGCTTGTGAGATTCCATCTGGGTTTTCTTGATGTATTTTTTACAAAAATGCTGCATTTTTTTTCTTTCAGGAAGAAGTAATTTCAAGTTGGTTTTTTCCTATGTATTCCTTCAAACTAGTACCATCAACCTTATACATAGAAAATAATTTTCAAAATTTATTGTGTTAAAAGATTATAGCTAAGAATTCTAGAAATGATGCAAATACAGATGAACATCATGATTCTTATTTCTGTATTGATTTGGCAACTTCAGTTGCAAACTTCTGCCTTTCATTATTTATAGAAGTATAGTCTCATTATTTAAAAAAGAACCATTTCCATTTTTATTTTTATTTATTTCTTAATATGTTGTGCTTAATTTCCCCAAATTTTCCAAATTCTTTACTTAGCATAGGATTGAGTTTGACTAACCACAATTTTATGTAGAGTCCTTAATATATTGTGACAAATTTTAATAATTTGTCATGATTTGTGCCATCCAAGAATCTGCTAAGATCTTTGAAATATAAGATGAATATAAGGAAACTCAAAAACAAGCCATATATATTTTTCCAGAGAGAGAAAATTATCAAAATTCATCCTCCATGAAACCTCTTGGATTACTAAAGAGAAATCTGGTGCTAATGGGAACAAAGAAGCCAGGAATATGTATTATGGATTCAAGTATACATTTATACATACACATATATATTCCAGTATAATTCAAATATATGTTATAATATATATATTTGATGTCGAGGTCTCACTCTATCACCCAGACTGGAGTGCAGTGGCATGATTATGGCTCACCGCAGCCTTGACCCACTGAGTTCAGGTGATCCTTCCACCCACTCCTGAGTAAGTGGACCTACAGGCACATGGTCATGCCTGGCAAATTAAATATTTATTACATTGACCTAAAAGGCTTTGTTAAGTATATAGAAGAGATAAATGCGATTAACATTTATCAAGTAACTAGAAACACTTTCAAATGCAAAATAATTACATTGTGAATAATTACACATAATAATTACAAATAGAACAAAGACACTTGATAAAATAATGATGATCACCTACTTTTGCATTAGATTCACAGTATATGATGTCCCCGCAATGACAATTTTGTAGGATATCTTGCAGAAGAGTACATTAAAAATGCAAGAGAAAAATGTTAGAACACGTAATCATTATTTTACATTAATAATAACTACATTCTAAAACACATTCATTCACTCAATAAAAAGATAAAAATTTATCATTTAAAATTAATTATCTAAATATGATTTGATATTATAATATTGGCTTCCATAGTAAACATGATGGATGAAATATAATATAAAAAATGAATTAAAATATAATAAAAAATGAATTGATTTTCAACCAATAAGTGTGTTAGCTTAATAAAGTTTGAGGATACAGCAAAACTTATGTTTAAAATGGACAGACTATAACTAAATTTCTCTCTCTCTCTCTCTCTCTCTCCATATATACATAAAAGCAAGGAACTGGCAGCACATATATATTTATAGATTTAAAAAAATTGGTTCCAAGTTTAAATGCTATACTAATTGTACTTTCTTAATATGATGATTAAAAAATACTGTCTGGCAAATGGACAATCTGGTCTATAGGTCAATTTGTGAAGCCCTGACATTTTTACATTATTGGGCCTTTCCAATCCATGAGCTTGCATTAATTTCCTCCATTTACAGTGGTCTTTATTATCATTTTTTTTTCAGTGAGGAGATTTTGCTTATCTTTGTTAGATCTATCTACATTTAGATTTTTATGTAGTATAAATTATATATTTTTAAAATTACATTTTATATTCTTTGTTTACCAAAATAGAAACATTTGATTTTTGTATTTCAATCTTGTTTCCAGAAAATTTGCAAAATTATTGTATTATTTCTAATTTTTCCCAGTTTGAATTTTATTTTGCATACAATAGTTTCATCTGAAAGTAATGATAGTGTTATTTCTTCTACTATTCCAATTATTATGTCTATTTTATTTTTTAGAATTTATTGTGTTGATCAGTACTTCCAGGCCAATAGGAAATTTTAAAAGGTAATAGTCTCTTTCTTGATCTTTAGAGGAAAGTTTTCAATATTTCGACTTTAGGTATATTTTTAAAAGGCATTTTAACTTATTTTTTTCTTAAGTATATTTTACTGTGTATATTTGAAATATACAACATGATGTTATAAAATACAAATATATACTAAAATGGCTACTACAGTGGAACATATTATCATTTCTGTTATCTCACATAATTACCCATTTTTCCCCTTGTGGCAAGAGCAGATATAATCCATTAATTTAGCAAAACTCCTAAATACAATTAATTAATACACTATTAATTGTAGTCCTCTTGTTGCACATTCAATCTTTGGACTTTTTCATCCAGCATCCCTATAATATTTTTATTTTAAAATACCATTAAAAACTGCATTTTTTTTCTTACTTAAGTATTGAGTTTCATAAGTCAATATGCAGTCTTTTTAACAAATGATATATTTAGAATCACTTCTTCAGAAATGATTCTAGAATCTAGAATTTAGTAAAAATCACAAGAACCTCTGTAATTCAAAGGAAAAGAAAGAACAATAATCCTGAACTAAGATAAACTAAAATAGCATTAAAAAGTCTTAGTTATCAACATATGTGTAATCAAGATGGAAAAAATCATTAATATAACACATCATTAAATCAAATGATCATCATTCCATATAAGGAAATCCTAGGTTTACTGAACAACAAGAAAAAAAAAGTTCCTCCAAAAATACACTGGTGGGTGAGTAAGAACTAAATCTACAAGGACAGAGTCAATGATTACTCAAAGACATCTAGGAAGGAAATGGGTTGAGAAAGTGGTCTTGGGGCTTTGATATCCAGCATCACTGCACCATGATTTTTTACAAAACATTTGTTAAACCTGGTTCATTTTCAAAAGGGATATTACATTCAAGAAAAATTGTGTAAAAATATAGAATTCAGCAGGTGTGCCTGGATGAAAAATAAGTTACCTTTTAGGAAGCAAAATATTTGTATGATTTTTAACTTGTGAACGTGTCAGTGATTAATTACCTGTGATTCAAATCCTCCTTTTTTTATTGACCGTATTTTCTCTGGAACTATAATTTGCATAGCTATTCTGTCAGAATCTGCAAGGTGTAAAGTATTTATTAGAGAAATACATATCACTTCATAGCTTCATTATTTCCTCATCTGTGTCTATAATCTGTATTGTATCCACCCCCTCTCATTTTTACTATCTTTTTCTTCTAAAATTACAAGAAGTGTTTTTTGTTGGTGGTGGTGTTGCTTTTTTTTTTTTTAAATAAATAAGCTGGGCTCGGTGGCTCAGCCTGTAATCCCGCGCTTTTGGGAGGCTGAGGTGAGTGGATTGCCTGAGCCCGCGGGTTCGAGACCCACCTGGGTAGGCGAGACCTCATCTCTACAATAAATCAAAAAAATGAGCCGGGCGTGGTAGCGCACGGCTGTAGTTCCAGCTACTTGGAAGGTTGAGGCGGAAGGATCGCAGGAGCCCAGAAGGTTGAGGCTGCGGTGGCCGGGAGCGGCCACTGCACTCCAGTCTGGGTGACAGAGTGAGACTCCAACTCAAAAAAAAGAAAGAAAGAAAGAAATATAATGCTTTAGGAATATTGCACTATAGGTAGAATCTGGTGACCTTGGGTCTATCTATTGGCCCAAGCCAAGTACAATTAAACTCATTTCCTCTGGGCCCTGCAACTAGAGAATACAGAAATTGGATTTCAGCCTTCACCATTGTGTAAATGCAAAGCAGGATATGAAACCTCAGCTTTGAGACATCCACTTAAGTCATGGGACCCCCTATCTTGCTGAGGCTTCCAGGACATGTGGGAAAGACCCCCCCTAACCCCACCCCCCCACCCCCGCTCATCCAATGGGAATTTTGGTTGGAAGGCAGCAATGTGGAACCCCCAAAGGAAAGCACTTCCCTGGAAGCATCCAGTGTAACTTGGAGACAGAGGTCAGAGAGGAGGGTTTTTCTAACTTACAACTGTCTGTCCGGAGCCCACCGAGCCCACTGAGCAGAAGCAGGACACGCAACATGGCTTGTCGTCCTGGATCCAGCCTGAATCCTGACAGTTGGCCGCCAGAGGTCAGTTGGGAGCGCGAGGTGACTTTCCCGCCCCCTCATGCCCCCCTTCCCTCCCCCGACCCCTCATCCCCCCCCGCCCAGCACCGCGCACCTCTTAACTGTCAGGTGACTGGGTGAGCCCGGGTGGACTGAGACGGTGGGTAAGGTGTGTTGCGGGACGTGGGAGGTCTGGGCCCCTAAGCCTCTTGCAGGACAAGGGATCCACTTGATGCCTACTGGAGGGAAAAAAAAAAAAAGGAAGGAAAAAAAAAGGCAGAATCACCTTCCACAAAGTCAGGGTCAAAGAAACACCTGACAAACAGGAAGATTCATAAACATTTCTTAAGCGAACTATCAATTTTTTAAAGTATATATATATTTAAAGTATGCATATTTAAATATATGGTATTTTATAGTATAGTAAATATATACTAGTATTTTTTTTAAATATATCTTTTAAAAAATATATTCTCATATATATTTTAAAGTATATATGTGATATATTCAGTCATATATGCACAGTTTAATTAAGATTCAAGTGACGAAAGTCAATGTTACTATACCCAGATCAAGAAACAAAATAGAAAAGTCCTCAGATTACTCCCTGACAATCATGACTTCTAACAACCATAGATTAGTTTTGTCAGTGTTTGAACTTTTTACAAATAAAACCAATCACCATGTACTCTCTTATGTTTGCGTTCTTGTAAAATGACGATAGTAAGGTCCATCCATAGCAAAAGTTTTGGTTTTGCTCATTGGTGTATATTGCACATTAAGTAAATATAACATCTTTGGTTTTTCCATTTTACTATTGATGAACATTTACTTTATTGTTCCAGCTACTGAAAATATATTTGGCTATAAATATATACAATAAACATATAAACATATACAATATGCCTTTCAGTGTGCATATGTAGGGATTTTGTTTGTTTGTGTTGGGGTCTTGCTCTGTCATCCAGGCTGGAGAGCAGTGGCAAAATGACGGCTCACCACGGCCTCAACCTCTTGGGCTCAGACTATCCTTCCTCCTCAGCCTTCTGAGTAGCTGAGCCTACAGGTGCATGCCACCATGCCCAAGCAGTTTTTTAATCTTTTAAAACTGTGTTTGTAGAGGCAAGATCTGTTTTCCAGGCTGATCTGGAACTCCTGAGCTCAAGCAGTCCACCTACCTGGGCTTCCCAAAGTGCTGGGATTATAGGTGTAAGCCATCATGCCCAGTTATGTAGGGATTTCTACAGGACATAAATCTAGAGCGAAGTTGTTGGATCCTAGAGTATGTTTTAGTGGGTACTTCCAAAGGGTTTCCCAATATTGTGACACTAATTTATACTCCCATCATAAGTGTATGAAAATTTCAGTTCCTCCATATCAATGTCTATACTACTCCTTCCTCCTCCCCCTCCCTCTCCCTCTCCATGCCAATGCCTACACTACCCCTCCCCCTCCCTCTTTTTCTCTCTCTAAATCTCCCTGTCATTTCGGTTATTTGGGTGAACCTGTAGAGGTTTTGCATTTTGGTTTTAATTTGCATTTTCATGCTGGTAAAGAAACTCTAGCTCAGTTTTGTCTGTTTATTCCCATTTTTATAACTTCTTTGGTAAATTCCTTCTTGAGATTTTGGTTCATTTTCTAATTGGGTTGCCTTGTCTCTTTATTATATGCAGAACCTCTTCATGCATTCAAGATATGATTTTTGTTGGATATAATGATTGCAATTATCTTGTATACTAGGACTTGCTTGTTCAGTTTTATTTTTGTATGTAGCTAGTTATATTCAGAACTTTATTTTATTTCATATGTGGGTTTTATGAGGTTTCTCTGGTATGTATTTTATCATGGATGTTGACTTTTATCAAATGCTATTGTTACCTTCTATATGATGAGCTCATATAGTTTTCTCCATCTTCTTGTTAATATTCTAAATTAAAATTACTGATTTTCCAGTGTGAAACAAATTTGTATTGCTAGAATACACTCTATTTTGTTATGATGTATTACCCTTTTATATTTTCCTAAGTTGATTTGCCAAAATTATTTTTAGGATTTTTGAAGCCATATTAATAAGATATATTTTTTCTGGCATTTTCTTTTATCATAATGACCTTGCGATTTTTGTATCAGAAACATGCTAGCCTCATAAAAGAAACTGGGAAATCGTATCCCTTTCTTTATTCTTTGAAATATTTAGTATAATGTAACTACTCTTTCTTTAATTTTTCTTATTACTTGGAAAATGAGTGATTAAGAACTGGAGTTTCCTTTGTAAGAGAGCTTATTTACTTATGGATCCAATTTCTTTAAAATATCCAAATATTCTCTATATGCTGATTTGAGAAAGTTTTATTTCTGAAGGAATTAGTCTATTTCTTCTGAGTTGTCAAAATACATTGGTAAAAGTTATTCATCGTACTCTCCTCTCCTTTATCATCCTACTATAGTTTGTAGCATCTTTAGCGATGTCCCTATTTTCATTCTCAATATTGATAATTTGTGATTTTTCTCATTATTCATGGTCAGTAGTTCTTGGAGTTTATTATTTTTATTAATTTTTAAAAGGACTTAGTTTGGGATTTTTAAATTATTCTATGATATGTTTGTTTTTTCTTTCATTGATTTTTGTTCATGTATTTTTTTCTACTTTGGAAGTAATTTGCTTTTTCTGATTTTTTTTTTTTTTTCCTGAGTTGGAGTCTCACTCCGTCGCCCAGACTGGAGTGCAGTGGCCGCTCCCAGCCACCGCAGCCTCGATCTGCTGGGCTCAGGCGATCCTTCCGCCTCAGCCTTCCAAGTAGCTGGAACTACAGGCATGCGCTACCACACCCAGCTAACTTTCTATTTATTGTGGAGATGAGGTCCAGGCGGGTCTCCAACCCGCAGGCTCAGGCAATCCACTCACCTGGACCTCCCAAAGTGCCGGGATTATAGGCTGAGCCACCTAGCCGGGCCGCTTTTTCTAATTTCTAAGAGTAGAAATTTATATTATTTATTTTAAACCTTCCTTCTATCTAATATATGCACTTAAAACTATAAATTCTCATCACAGATAAATTTATATAAAATATAAATTCGCAAACTCTAAATTGCCGTCAATTCTTTCAATGTTTGGTAGAATTCATCAGTGAAGCTATCTATTACTGATCTTTTTGTGGGAAGAAGGGGAGTTTTTTTTTCTTTTTAGAATTCCTGATTTAATCTCTATTTTGGGGACTGAGATAGCAAAATACATTAGGTTGGGTAATATAAATAGACATTGATTTCTTTCAGTTCTGAAGGCTGTAAAGATCAAAAAAGCATGACAGAGGAGTTGAAGGGGAAGCGGCCTTCTGAAGCTTCTTTTTGAAGAACATTAGCCCCATTTACAAGGCCAAAAGCCCTATGACATAATCCCATCTCACAGACATCACCTTCTAGTAACATCATCTTGATGTTTAGATTCTAATATACAGTTTTTGAAGGAACACATACATTCAGACAATGGCAATCTCTTTATTTATTGCAGGTATGCTGCAGATTTTCTATCTTTTCTTGAATCAGTTTTAGTTTGTGTGTTTCTATGACTTTTACAAATTTCATCTAGTTTATCTAATACTTTGGCAAACAATGTTTCATAATGTTGACTATAATCCTTTTTCACTTCTGTAAGGTTGTCAGTAATGGCCTGCTTTCATTTCTGATCTCAGTTATTTGTGTCTTAAATGTTTTTTTTCTGTCAATCTACCTGGAGGTTTGTCAAGTTTGTTGATCTTTTCAAGATCTAATTTTTGTTTTATTGATTCTCTCTGCTGCTTCTTTATTCTCTATATTTTTTTCCCTCTAATCATTATTATTTCCTTTCTTTACTAGCTCTAGGTTTAATTTGCTCTTTATTTTCGAATACCACAAGATATAAATATTACTGATTTAAGATATTTCTTTTTTAAATATGATTTACAGTTCTATATTTCTCTCTGAACACTCTTTATACATCATACCATAAGTTTTGATGTGCCATATTTCCCTTTAAGTTTATCCATGTATTTTATAATTTACTTTGTATTTTTTTTGACTCATTGTGGTTCATACTTATTGTTTAATTTCTATTTATTAGTTAATTTTCAGGTTTCTTCTATTATTGATTTCTAGCTTCATCCAATTCTGGTCAGAGAAGATATGTTGTATGATTTCAAACATTTTAAATTTATTGATGCTTGTTTTGTGGCCTAACATACAGTTTTCCCAACCTCTGGGATAAAATCATGAAGGGTAAATTAAGATATTTCTAGATAAACAAAAACTTGAAAAATATGCTGCTGGTAATTCCTGCCCTCCCAAAGATACTAAAGGAAATCTTTCAGACTAAGATGAAAGGATTCTAGACAGTAACTCAAAGTCATATGCAGGGAAAACAAACAAAACACCAGTAAAGGTAAGTACATGAGTAAATATAAAATCTGGCATTTTAATTTTTGGTTTCTTACTCCTCTTTCTCTTTACTTTTTGATTTAAAAGATAAATACATAATTTAATTATAAATCTGTTATTTAACACATAATACATGGAATGAAATTTGTAACAGTAACTACATCATGAGAGGGAGGAAGGTAAGTAAAGCTATATAGAGACAGGTTTTTGAATACCATAGGGGCTAAGTTGATACTAATTCAAACTGGATTGTTGTATTATTTGAGGTTGTTCATTGTAATCCTAAGGGTAACAACTAAGAAAATAACATGTTGGGAGCCAGCCTTGGAGGCCCGCCTGATTGACAAAGTCCAGGTGCGCTGAGGACTCCTGGCCGCAAAGCGAGTCCGGGCAGCCGAGGCCCTTCTGTCTTCTGTCTTTGCTGTTGGTACGGCTAAAGAAATTCTGTGCAGTCATGGAAGAAGAAAATGGTATGCTTATGTGAAGTATTCACAGCTAATCTGGAAATGTCATGGTTCATTTTTCCATTTCCCAATATGCCGTTTGGCCTTTTCTAACATATGCAAGGGTTAAACTCTGAAGCACATCAAAAATGCTTT